ATTTATGTACATTTAAAAATCCCAAAACAATACTATATATTGAAAATATATATTAATTTAAAGACAGTGGTTATTTCTGGGGAAGGAAGAAATGGGAGTTTATTATCTATAACATTTCATTTCACTTAAAGAAAAAATCTGAATCAAATACATCAAGGCATTAACATCTGTTAAGTCTGAATGGTAGATGCATAAATATTTGTAATTTTTTTGTATGTAATAAACATTTTCATAGCTTAAACAAAATATTTAAAAATTAAACATTAAATAAAGGAATAGATCAATATGTGAATAAATTAATGATGAATAAACACCCCAGATATTGGGGCATACTACACAAACAGTAGTAGAATATTACTGCTGCAAGCACCATTAGCAAGTATCTAATCTTACTCCATATTTGACATGTGTGGAAACTGACACCTAGAGAAGTTAAGTGACATCAGAGCCACACTAGTGGTCAGATTTGGAATCCAGGCTTTCCAACTTGCAGTCCAGGACTCCCTTCCATTATGCCTTGGGTACATATCACTGCCACCTTCATTAGAAGATGCAAAGATTTACAAGTATCAGGAATGGTATGGAGAAGCCTTACTGTCCTCAATAACCCAAGAGTCATTCTCTACACGTCTCTCAATGTAAAGAGTAACATTTATAAACATTCTGAGAAAACTACACAGTTTATTTATGTCATGGCTTCATCTCAAACCCTAGGATAACCTCTGCCAATTGTCCATTATGGGCAAACATAGAGAGAAAAATAAATATCTCAAGGAAGAGTTGACTTGGGCTATAAGAACCCTGCTTACACGCTGGTTGGTAGAAGAGAGCACTATTCATCTCATTCTTCTTTCTGAAGTTGAGGTCTCCTCTGGACCCAACCAGGTCAGTAACATCCAATATCCTTTCTCAAATCACCATGCATTCTGGTGTCTTGGGCAACCTTCAGATGCCCTGATGCAGGCAATTCCCTGTCAGAGTCTGAAGAGAGTGAGCTTTCTCATTTATTCTTGTCATCCTCTCCCCGTCCACTTTATTCATGGTTATCCACGGCTTCATTCATAAAGTCCACATTATCTGAATTGAAGACTGGGTTTCAAAGTCCTTTCCAGTGTCTGGTGCTTTATTGTAATTAATAACAATAGCTAATTTTATTGAACGCTCACTAAGGGCTAGACATTGTTCTATGCACTTTTTGATTGTTAACTCATTTGATCATCACAAAAACCTTGTGAGATGGATACAATAATTACCATCATTTTAAAGGCAAGGACTCACAATCGTTAAGACTTAAGAACATTTTTCAAGATCATGCTAATAAAGTCATGGAAGAGGATTCAAACCTAGACAGTTTTGTTCCTGAACCTAAACCATCACACACTACACCAAATTTACTTTATTCTTTGGGTACTTACTCATTTTGGGAAAAAATTTAAAAAGAAATAGAGACAGTTGCTATTACTCTAGTTTGAAGTCAGGAGGTGTGAAACCTCCAGCTTTGCTCTCTTGCTCAGGGTTTCTGAGTGATTGATTTGTGTAGTGGGCCTCGCTACTGGACTGGAACCAGGGCTGGAGTGGAGTAGGCTGCTTTTGTGTAATTTTCTTTGCCTATTATCCTGTAATTCTGCAAATTTTCATAGCCAGTTTTGAGAAGTCTTTTTACTTTCATTTGGACCAATGTCAAAATAAGAATAATCTTAGGATAAAGGATCTTAGGTTAGAGTCAACTCATAGATGAACTAATGTAAGTAGTGGAGACAGATACTGTCTCTCTCTCTTCCCCACCATCCCTATAATGTATATACCACATTTTATTTATCCATTCATCTGTTGATGGACACATAGGTTGTTTCCATATCTTGGACGCAGTGGTGCAGATACCTCTTTAACACAGTGATTTCATTTCCTTTGAATATATACCCAGAAATGGAAATGCTTCATCATATAGTTCTACTTTTAATTTTTAAGGAACTTCTATACTGTTTTCCATAATGGTTATACCAATTTACATTTACACCAACAGTGCACAAGAGTTCCATTTTCTCCATATCCTTACCAACACTTGTTATCTTTTGACTTTTTGATAATAGTTATCCTAACAGGTGTGAAGTAATATCTCATTGTGGTTTTGATTTCTATTTCTTGCCTAATAGCTCTGGCGAGGACTTCCAGTACTTTATTGAATAAAAATGGTGAAAGTGGGCATCCTTGTCTTGTTCCTGATCTTAGAAAAAAGCTGTCACCTTTTCACCATTGAGCATGACGTTAGCTACATTGAGATGTAGGCCTGTCATATATAGCTTTTATTATGTTGAGGTACATTTATTATATACTTTATTTGTTGAGAGTTTTATCATGAAAAGATGTTGAACTTTGTCAAATGCTTTCCCTCGTCCCTATAATGTACCTCTGACCATATATGTAAAGAGAAACCCACTTAAGGAGAAAATACTTGCAGATGTACATCCAATCAAGTTTCCATTATCCTTTTCTCTTTCATATATGTAGTCCAACTTGTCTATTTTTTCCTTTGTCTAATCCTAAAATCCAGGGCTACAAGGACGTAAGAGACCATCACTTCCTTCAGTGACTCAAAAATCACCTTATTAGAGGGGACCTCCTGACCATCCCATAAAAAATTACACCACCCCCTCTCTACTCTACACCTTGGCTATTCCCTCCCCACTTAGCCTCCTTTGTTTGCCTACATATACCTTCTGCTGCCTGCTATGTTATATATTTATTGTCCCTCTTCCCTAGAATGTAAGTACTATAAAGACGGGGCTTTATTCTGTTTGCTTATGTATCTTCAGCGTCTACAGTAGTGTCAGAAACTAAACCGGGCTCTGCATCTAATAGGTATTTCAAAAATCGAGTACCAGAGTTGGAGAATTTGCTCTTTTTCTTTTATTCTCTCTAGTCCTCACTGCTGGGAAGCTCTCTGGTGTCTTGTAATATACGACTTTTTATGTAGATAATCAGTGGGAATTTTGGCCTGCTAAAAATCGTTCTATTATGTCTCTGCTTCCCTCTGCTCCCACCCAGTGCCAACTCCATCAGTTCAACCCAGTCTTCTTTTCTGGAACCTCAGTGAATTAGAAAGGTCAAGGCAGCATTCTCTGCTGTTTGACCCCAGGATGTTATGTGCCCAGGGCCTGGGAATAAAATTGCTGCTCATGCCTTTTCCTGTTCCTCACAGCAGCTTCAGCTTATTGGCTAAAGGTTTCTACTTCATTATGTCATTTAAGGGAAACTTGACAAGGTCCTCTGGGTGTCTGATGTAATGGAGTCTTGTTTAAATTTAAAGCTTGGTTATTTACTCTTCAAAAATTAATGGAGGACATTTCTTATCATTTTCTACTATATTTGACTAACCTGTTATATAGGTGTGATATGGCAGTGATTGGTAACTTCACGATTTGGCTGCTAGTTGAATTAAAGCACTATAACTTTTTATATTTTTTCAACATCTCTATTGGAGTATAATCGCCTTACAATGTTGTGTTAGTTTCTGCTGTATAACAAAGTGAATCAACTATATGTACACATACATCCCCATATCCCCTCCCTCTTGTGTCTCCCTCCCACCCTCCCTATCCCACCCCTCTAGGTGGTCACAAAGCACTGAGCTGATCTCCCTGTGCTATGCGGCTGTTTCCCACTCACTAGCTATTTTACATTTGGTAGTGTATATATGTCCATGCCACTCTCTCATTTCGTCCCAGCTTACCCTTCTCCCTCCCCGTGTCCTCAAGTCCATTCTCTACATCTGTGTCTTTATTCCTGTCCTGCCCCTAGATTCTTCAGAACCATTTTTTTTTTAGATTCCATATATATGTGTTAGCATATGGTATTTGTTTTTCTCTTTCTGACTTACTTCACTCTGTATGACAGACTCTAGGTCCATCCACCTCACTACAAATAACTCAGGTTCGTTTCCTTTCATGGCTAATATTCCATTGTATATATGTGCCACATCTTCTTTACCCATTCATCTGTCGATGGACACTTAGGTTGCTTCCATGTCCTGGCTATTGTGAATAGTGCTGCAATGAACATTGTGGTACATGACACTTTCTGAATTATGGTTTTCTCAGGGTATATGCCCAGTAGTGGAAGTGCTGGGTCATATGGTAGTTCTAGTTTTAGTTTTTTAAGGAACTTCCATACTGCTCTCCATAGTGGCTGTATCAATTTACATTCTTACCAACAGAAAGCACTATAACTTTCTTATTCATAAAATATGAATATGCCACAAAATTTTGTTGAGTATGTTGGATAACTGAATCAAAATTTTAAAAAAAGATTCTATGGTGATGGACTGAAACTGGTAGAATAAAATAGAACATGGATATAAATATAAAATCTTACATTTAGACAACAAACAAACAAACAAAAAACAAAAAGCAAACCTTGGCTAAGGATAAGGTAGAGGAACATAGCTTAAAAGCAGATCACAGTGTTTATTTACCACAAACCATAAATGAACCCTAAGTGTGTGACAGGGTTGCTAAAAATAAGGTAGAAGAATTATTTTAGGTTTTTCCAATACTAGTGTGGTATCCAGGTTAGTTTTACTTTCCTTGGTCACACCACATCTAAATTATTCCAGTTTTGGCCTTACTTTTTAAAGTGGACATGATAAACAAGGACCCATGTAAAGAATAGTGAAGAACTTAAACGCAAATTTTAGACTTGAGACTTTTTATTTTCACTCAAGACTTACTCTTTAACAGTGGAATTTAAATATTCAGTTATTAATAAATGGAAGCACTGCCATACAGATTTGCTTTGTACATGTTTAGAAGACTCAGGTCATACAGAGGTATAATTTGGAACTATGTAACTGCAGGTATTTTAAAGATTAGAGCTGTTGAATGATAAGGGCTACTCTTGTGTCAGACAGAAAACTCCTTGTTCTTGGAGGTGCTCAAACAAAGGATGGTTGTCCCTCTATGAGGAATACTGTAACAAAATGGAAAATTATAGGAGATGACCATTAGGTTGATTCAACTTTGAGATGCTCAGCTTCAGTGTAATTCTGCAACTCCACCTCTATGCTGTGAGAGGCACTGAAATAGGGAGAGAAAAGAATCATGGGATTGCCTTTAGCCCTTAGGAAACAGCAAACTTTAAGGAGACTATGTGGATCAAAAGAGAGAGGAGCGGTGGTTCTCATTTCTTTTTTAAGTAACAGACTCCTCCATCCTGCCTTCAAAAATTTAAATGCTATATAGAACCCAACTGGGAAATAAAGAGCTAATTTTTTTTTTTTTTTTTTCGGTACGCGGGCCTCTCCCATTGTGGCCTCTCCCGTTGTGGAGCACAGGCTCCAGACGCGCAGGCTCAGCGGCCATGGCTCATGGGCCCAGCCGCTCCACGGCATGTGGGATCTTCCCAGACCGGGGCATGAACCCGCGTCCCCTGCATCGGCAGGCGGACTCTCAACCACTGTGCCACCAGGGAAGCCCTAAAGAGCTAATCTGAGTGGACAAGACTGGGGGTAGCCACAGACCTGGATCCCTACCCACTCAGCTCCTTCACCCTCAAAAAGGTCCCTGTGCTATTTCTTTGGAAGTTGTATGTGTTAATTTCCAGATTTCTGTCTAGGACCTGAGGGTTTCAATTTCTCAATGAAGTAGTTGGTGAGGCTATCAGAGATAATCCAAGAATTTTCCTGAATTTATGAAAGGCTTAATCTTCAGATAGTAGAATTATATTGACATCTTGGGTATGTGTGTGTAGCTCTAAAAAATAATCAAGGTAAAAAGACAGAAGAAAGCATGGTTAATCCAATATAAGTCGGGAAAGGAGTAAAAAGAAGCAAAGAGATATATAAAGAGGGGAGTGGTCAAGATGGTAAAGCAGGAAGACCCCGAGGTTACCTCTTCCCATGAGCACACCAAAATCACAACTATGTACAGAGCAACTATTAATGAGAAAGACTGGAACACTTGCGGAAAGGATCTTCTACAACTAAAGATATAAAGAAAGAACCACAATGGTAGGAGGGGCAGAGACACGGTATAGTCAAGACCCCTATGCCCCAGGTGGGTGACTCACAGACAGGAGAATAATTACAATTGCAGAGGCTCTGCCCGAGCAGTGAGGGGTCCAAGCTCCACATCAGGATCCCAGCCTAGAGTATGGCACCGAGAAGATGAGTCCCCAGAATGTTTGGCTTTGAAGGCTAGTGGGGCTTATTTTGGGGGAGAGCCAGAGAGCTGTGGGAAACAGAGACCCCATTCTTAAAGGGCACACATAAAACTTCATGTGTTCCAAGACCCAGGGCAGACGCAGTAATTTGAGAGGAGCCTGGGTCAGATCCACCTACTGATCTTGAAGAGCCTCCTGGAGACGCAGACGGCAACTGGAGCTTACCCTGAGGACACAGACACTGGTGGTAGCCATTTGGAGCAGTTTCTTCTACCATGTGGACACTGGTGCTAACAAGCACCATTCTCGAACCCTTCCACTAGGTAATTAGCCCTGGGGACCTGGCCCCGCCCACCAGCCTATCAGCACCAATACTGGGATGTCTCAAGCCAAACATCTAGTTGGATGGGGACACAGACCCACCCATGAGCAGGCCAGCTGCTTAAGACCCCTTGAGTCCACAGCCACCATGGGATCGGGCCCTGTCAACCAAGGGCTGAGGACCTGGCCCTGCATACGTATACTGGCACTAGCCCCATGACTCCCAGGGCCCTGCAGCCAGAGACCCTGGGACCCAGCTCCATCTACCAGTGGGCTGGCACTATCCCCAGGACCAGCCTCATCTACCAGTGGGCAGGTGCCACACGGGGATATGCTGGGCCCAGGACACACTCACCAACAGGCACACACCAATTCCAGGACTAATGCAGTCCCAAAGCCTGCTGTGTCAGGACCCAGCCCACCCACCAGCAGGCCAGCAACTGCCCTGGGACTGCCTAGGTTCCAGCCCTGCCCACCAGCAAGCTGACACCAGCTTTGGGACACCCCAGATCCCAGAGCCAGCCACTTTGGAATCCAGCTCCACCAACCAGCAGGTCAACACCAGCCCTGGGACCCCCAGGGCCCTGCAGCCAGAGACCCTGGGACCTAGATCCACACATCAGCAGCTGGCACTAGCTCAGGGACCCTCTGGGCCCCAGCCCTGCCCACCAGCAGGCCAAAACCAGCTCTAAGATACCTCAGATCTCTCATCCAGCTGCCCTGGGATCCAACCCCACTCATCAGTGGGCCAGCAGTAGCCCCAGGATCCTCTGGGGCCCTGCAGCCAGCTACCCTCGTAACCCAACCCTGCCCACCACCTACCGGCAGTCTCCGCACAAGGCAAGGTCTGGCGACCAACTGAACTCGAGGCCAGCCACACCTACCAGACTGCCCACAGTAGTCAGTCTGCCACAACAGAAGGACCCATACAGCCCACATAGGGGGAAACCCTAGAGCATATAGCTCTGATGACCAGAAGGAAGTGTGCTGCTGGGATGCATAGCATGTATCCTACAAAAGGCCACTTCTCCAAAGTCTGGAAACATAACCTGCCTACAAAATACAAAGAAATAAAAACAGCAAATTGCGCAAAATGAGGTGACAGAGGAATATGTTCCAAAGGGAGGGACAAGAAAAAAACCCAGAAGAACTAAGTGAAGTGGATATAAGCAATCTACCTGATAGAGAGGTTAAAGGTAATAATCATAAAGATGTTCAAAGAAGTAAAGAAAGCCTGGATGAACAGAGTGAGAAGTTAGAAGTTTTTAGCAAAGAGTTAGAAAATATAAAGAAGGACCAAACAGAGATGAAGAATATAACAACTAAGATAAAAAAAATTAGAAGGAATCAATAGTAGATTAAATTATACAAAGGAATGGATCAGTGAGCCGGAAGACAGATCAGTGGAAATCACTGAAGCTGAACAGAAAAAAAGGAAAAAGAATAAAAAGAAATGAGGACAGCTTAAGAGACTTCTGGGACAACATCAAGCATACTAGCATTCACATTAAAGGACTCCTAGAAGGAGAAGAGAGAGAGCAAGGGGCAGGGAATATATTTGAAGACATAATAGCTGAAAACTTCCTTAACTTGGGAAAAGAAACAGACACCCAGGGCTAGGAAGCACAGACATTCCCAAACAGGATTAACCCAAAGAGGACCACACCAAGACACACTGTAATTAAAATGGCAAAAGATAACAATAAAGAGAGAATATTAAAAGCAGAAGGGGAAAAGCAACAATTTATCTATTCCCATAAGGCTGTCAGCTGACTTTTTAGCAGAAACTCTGCAGGCCAGAAGGGGGGGGGCAAGATATATTTAAAGTGATGAAAGACAAAAATCAACAACCAAGAATACCCTACCTGGCAAGGCTTTCATTCAGATTTCATGGGAGAAAAAGTTTTACAGAAAAGCAAAAGCTAAAAGAGTTCAGCAGCACCAAACCAGCTTTACAAAAAATGTTAAAGGGACTTCTGTAAGAGGGGAAAAAAAAAAAAGGCCACAACTAGAAACTAGAAATATGAAAATTACAAAAGGAAAAATCTCATTGGTAAATGTAGTAAATCAAACCACATATAAAGCTAGTAGGAAGGCTAAAAGACAAAAGCAGTAAAATCAATCTATATCCACAAAAAGTTAAGGGATACACAAAACAAAGAGATGTAAAATATGATGTCAAAATGGTAAGTGCTGGAAGAGGAAGTAAAATGCAGGATGGTTAAAATGTGTCTGAACTTAAGAGATCAGCAACTTAAAATAATCATGTATAATATACAGATTGCTATACATAAACTCCATGGTAATCACAAACCAAAAATCTATAATAGATACACACACACAGAAAGAGAAAGGAATCCAAACATAACACTAAAGATAGTTATTAAATAACAAGGGAAGAAAGCAAATGAAGAAGAAAGGAATAAAAAAACCCTACAAAACAACCAAAACAATTAACAATATGGCAATAAGTACATATCTATCAATAACTACTTTAAACATAAATGGATTAAATGCTCCAATTGAAAGACATAGAATGGCTGACAGATACAAAAACCAGACCCACATATATGTTGCTTACAAAAGACATATAGACTGAAAGTGAGGGGATAGAAAAAAGTATTCCATGCAAATGGAAATGAAAAGAAAGCTGAGGTAACAATACTTATATCAGACAAAACAGAACTTAAACACTCTAACAAGACAGAAAGAAGGACATTACGTGATGATCAAGGGAATAATCCAAGAAAATATAACAACTGTAAATATATATGCACCTAACATAGGAGTACCTAAATACATAAAGCAAAAATCAACAGACATAAAGGGAGAAACTGACAGTGACAAAATTATTAGTAGGAGACTAACAGTTCACTTACATCAGTGAAAGATCATCCAGACAAAAAAATCAAGGAAACACTGGCCTTAAATGACACATTAAACCAGATGAACTTAATAGATCTATATAGAACATTTCGATCCCAAAGCAGCAGATTACACATTCTTTTCAAGTGCACATGGAACATTCTCCAGGATAGTTCACATGTTACTGAGACAAAAAATGTCTCAGTAAATCTAAGAAAACTGAAATCATATCAAGCATCTTTCCCAACCACAATGCTATGAGACTAGAAATAAACTACCAAAAAAACGAACAAACAAAAAAAACCTCTGCAAAAAACACAAATACGTGGAGACTAAACAGTATACACCTAACAACCATGGATCACTGAAGAAGTCAGAGAAGAAATAAAAAATACCTGGAGACAAATGAAAATGAAAACACACCCATCCAAAATCTATGGGATGTAGCAAAAGCGTTCTAAGAGGGAAATTTATAGTGATACAAACCTACCTCAGAAAATAAGAAAAATATCAAATAAACAACCTAACCTTATACCTAAAGGAGACAGAAAAAGAAAAACAAGCAAAACCCAAAGTTAGTAAAAGGAAAGAAATCATAAAGATATGAGCAGAAATAAATGAAACAGAGATTAAAAACAATAGAAAAGATCAATGAAACTAAAAGCTGGTTCTTTGAAAAGATAAACAAAATGGATAAATCTTTAGCCAGACTCATCAAGAAAAAAAAGGG